GAGACCACTGGAGACCGACCAAGACCACCAGAGACCTTCTGCAAAGACCGCCAGAGACTATAATGGACATTCTTAGACAATCAGACACTTCCATAGATCTACTGAGAGCAGAGAATCCATCAGAGACCCCCTAAGATCCTGGGAGATACCCTGAGACAATCTGAGACCATGAGAGACCCTCTGAAAGGACCAACAGAGACCACTGGAGACCGACTAAGACCACCAGAGACCCTCTGCAAAGACCGTCAGAGACTATAATAGACATTCTTAGACAATCAGACACTTCCATAGACCTACTGAGAGCAGTTGATACATCAGAGACCTCCTGGGACCACCACAGACATTCTGAGACCACCTGAGATCATCCAAGCTCATAAGAGACAGTTATAGACCTAGTGAGTCCTCCTGAAACCTCATAAGAGCTTTAAAGATCTTCTGAGACCACCAGAGACCTTTAGAGGAGCCATTTGATGGAAAAACGGTGTTCTGAAGTGGTAAGATCTGAGATGTTAACCTGAAAGAAGTCCGACATCCATCAGTGAGGGGAACAAACATCTCAGAACCTCTTCTGATGTGACATCCTTTAAGTTCCACATGGATGGCAGAGCAGAGTTGTTGTTTTTTCAGGACTTGATCTGGTTCCTCACAGCAGATCCAAACCACCTGCTGATCCTGGGAAATTTACCACCTTCTGTTTTCAGAGCCGCCTTGTTGATGGAGGACAGAAATTTAACTGATTCAATCAGAACAGCTGTGGAACCGGCAGTAGATCATCTGCTGAAGATACCCTGCAGGTTTCATCCAGCTCCTGTAGGACCAGCGACGATCAAACCAGAGGCTGAAGATTCTGCAAAGGTTCTGGAAACAATAGATTCAAAGTTCTTTTCGTGGAAACTGGATGATAAGATGAAAAGCAGTTTTATTGGTGGTTTTTAAGGTGGTTTTGGATCATCTGACCAACTTCTATTCAGATTAAAGGAGCTAAACCTCAACTTCCATCTTCTTTACCTCCTGTTGGAAAGATGTCAGCTGATCCGTCCAGACGTGGGACACGAATCCAATAGAAGGACACAGATGAGGACGTCTGCAGCTCGGAGGATCTAAAAATAAAACAAGAACAAAAAAACAGAAGAAATAACATCAGCTGGAATTTAATCAGGACTAATTTTACTTCTTCATTCAGGATCCTCCTCCTTCTCCTCCTCCTCCTCCCCCTCCTCCTCCTCATGTCACTGTTTTCCTCTCATACCTCCCACCTCCACTTCAAACTGCAGCGCCAACCTTGGCAAAAAGCAGAAGCTCCTGGATCAGCAGGAGCGCCAGGATCTACAGCAGTTTGCGGATCTTCAGAGCTTCCCACCTCCTCGGACCTCTCCTGCAGCTTCTTGCCTCTCGGCTGTTTTCCCAACATGTGAAACGATGTGAAACTTCGCCGCAGGAGGATCTTCGAGTGTGAGGAGGAACCATGTCTTCCCTGAAAGCAGGTCAGACTCCAGAGAATCTGATTTTATCTTCACATCATGTGTTAGAGGAGGCTTAGCAGGAAACCTTCCAGAATCTTACATCTATTTTTCATCATCAGAAATCAGCAGAAATATGAATGTAAAAAAGATCAGAGTTAGAAGATCTGATGGAGGATGGAACCAGTTCATCCATTCATCCATTTATCCATCCATCCATCCATCCATCCATCCATCCATCCATCCATCCATCCATCCATCCATCCATCC